CTCAGGGGACCCTATGGGATGCTGGGGATCGAACTCAGGTTGGCTGCGTGCCAGGCAAACGACCTCCCCACTGCACTGTCGCTCAGCCCTCCTTGTGACTTCTTTCATGTATGTACCATAATACCCTCCAGTTCCATCCATGTCACAGAGGGTGTGATTTCATCTTTTTTTTCTAAATAGTCATGAATATTCCACCACGGACGGGTACCCCGTCTTTTCTGTCTGTTCACCCTCTTTGCGCATGTGGGTCTGTCAACTTTGGCCATCATAAATAGAACTGCAGTGACCATTGGCAGGCGTGCCTCTTTTCTATTTTTTTGGGGGGGGGGACACACCCAGTGATGCTCAGGGGTTATTCCTGGCTCTGCACTCAGGAATCACTCCTGGTGGTGCTTGGGGGACCATATCGGATGCCGGGAATCAAGCCGGGGATGCGTGCAAAGCAAGCGCCCACCCCCAACCTGCTGTAGTCTCTCTCCATCCCCAGGTCTCTCCATCCCCAGGTATTGCCAACTTCTGTTATATTTCTGTTAACGGCATTGGGTTTGATTTTGTTATTTGTTTAAATGGCTTGGGATCAGCTTACTACTTTTGGGGCTTGCTATCAGCTATCAGGTGGGTCTGAATCAGACTTTTATTTATTTTTTAGTGTAACAAGCTAGTTTCATTTTTGTTGTTGTTTTGGACTATACCCAGCGATACTCGGGGACCATATGGAATGCCGGGAATCGAACCCGCGTGCAAGGCAAACGCCCTCCCCGCTGTGCTGGCGCTCCAGAGACCCCCCCCCCCCACACACACTTACCTCTTGCGTCCACATTTTTCACTTTCCCAGCCGCATTGCTGGCCATCAGGTCAGGATTTGTCTTCCTTTCTTTCTGAACCACACCCAGCCTTCCTCAGGGGTAGCTCCAGGCTGCCCTGGGAGAGGGCAGAGTGGTGCTGAGGCTGGAACCTGAGGCCTCCAGCCCCTCGGCCTGTGTTCCAGTGCGCCACGCCCCCTCCGTGAAGTGCCACGCCCCTCCCCGAAGTGCCACGCCCCCTCCGTGAAGTGCCACGCCCCTTCCGAAGTGCCACGCCCCTCCCCGAAGTGCCACGCCCCCTCCCTGAAGTCCCGACTTTGCTCTCCTTCCTCAGTGCCCTGGGGGTCGGGGAGGGTGCTCCTTGCAGCTGGGAGGTGGGCTGACGCCTGTGTCTCTGCCCCTGGCCCAGCTCTCGCACCCCATGTCCTGAGATTCATTCAGGCCCCCAGGGTTTGGGGGTTTCTCTGGGGCAGACGCCGTCTGTCCTTGGAGAGCCCCTGTGTTGGGGACAGACTAGGACAATGGGCAGCGCAGAGGCTGTTGGAGAAGGTGGAGCTGGAAGGGGAGAGGGTGAGCGATGCAGGAGGGCCCGGCCGCGGATTTGTCTATTATGGAGGGGGGCGCTACACCTGGCAGTGCTGGGAGCTGCCCTGGCTCTGTGCCCAGAGATGACTCCTGGGGACCACGTGGTGCATAGGATCGAACGGAGCCAACCACAGGCAAGGCAGTTGCCTTATTCCCCCGGGGTATCTCTCCGGCCTAGGCCCACAGTGTAGAGGGGTGCACGGGAGACAGTCCCGTGGCATCTGGGGCACTGACTTCTGGGAGCAGAGAGGACAGCAGGTGCAAAGGCTCTGGGGTAGAAGCACGGGGGCTTCCAGCTGGTGTGGTGGGAAGGAGCCATGGGTGGTCCTGGCACTCGGACCTCCCAGGCCTGACGGAGGGCGAGGCAGGAACCATTGGCAGCATGGCCGAGGAGGGGACAGTAGCCACTCCTGGACTGGCGTGGGTGGCAGCCGTGCTTAGAGCATCTCGCTGCGTGCGTGGGAATGTGTGGTCTCGGTGGTCGGGCCCAGTTCCTGCGACCCTCTCTCAGGGTCCTCGGAGGAAACACCTGTCCCTTCCCTCAGCCTGAGCTCCGGACTCTTTTTTTTTTTTTTTGCTTTTAGGGTCACACCCGGCCACTCCTGGCCATACACAGGGGCCACTCCTGGCCATTCTCAGCCAACAAGCTTGAGTGGTTCAGAACTCAGACCCAGTGCTGCGGGCCCAGCAGGGGGCCCTCCCGGGAGTAGGGAGAGGGGGCCCTCGGTGCCAAGGACCAAACTCAGCACCACCCTGGCAGCACTCCTGCGCTGGCTCCCTGGCCCAGGAACCTGTGTTTTGGGTTTTTGGTTTGGGGGCCACATCGGGCGGTGGCTGGGGCTGACTCCTGGCTCTGTGCTCCGGGATCACTCCTCAAAGGGCTCAGGGGACCAGCGCAGGGGCCGGGGATCAAACCCAGGTCAGCTGCATCCTAGGCCAGCACCCTCCCTGCTGGCATCGTCTCTGGCTCCCGGGCCTCGAGTTTCAGGATGCGCGTCCACGGGGAGGGGGGCAGGCTCTGCTGAACTCAGGTGTGGGGTGTGGGGCGGGGTACCCAAGATCGCGTGTGGGGTGGCTTGTCTGCTGCAGCTCCCTGGGCTGGTGGAGGGCGGGGCTGAGTGATTGCTTCCAGATGAGGGGCGGCTTGGGCGGTGGGGGTGGAGCCGGAGCCTCGCCTCCAGGCAGCCTGCCCTGCCCACCTCCGGCCAGCGTTAGAGACCTGGGGTGGCGGGTGGGAGGGGCTAATGCTCCCTCCCCCCCCAACCCGGCTGGAGACAGCTGCTGACCTTCCCCTGCCCGGGAGACTGAGCCCTGTCTGGACCACAGGGGCCTGTTTTTCCTGCACGCCCTTCCTCCTGGGAGCCCTCTCAGCTTGGTCCCTGTGGAAGGAAGGAGTTCTCCTTGTTTAGAAGCAGCCAGGGTCAGAGCCCTGGGGCAGGCCAGGGAGTGGCCAGTCCCCGAAGAAGCAGCCCCGGCCCTGCTGCATGGGGGGGGTGGGGGGGGGAGGCTGTTCCTCCCGGGGGTCTGAAGCCGGCCCGTTCTGGCCACAGTCTCAGGAGCTACTGGGGGCCCGGCCGGGTCCCCTGTCTGCACTCAGGCACACGTGTACCTCGTCTACACACGCACTGTGCTCTCCCACGCCTGCCTGCTCTCACGCACATGCAGCCCCTCACGCGTGCGTGCACACCCGTGTTTGCACGCACGCTCAGGCTCCTATCCTTAGGGTACCCGCCCACCCACTGACGCCACCCTCACACATGCACGCCCAGACCCACTCCAGCTTGCACACGCAAGTGCACACACCTTTCTGTTTTTCGCATGCGCTTGTGTGCCTGCACACACTCACACAGGCACGCGTGGACACCCGCTGCCTCCACCCCTCACACGCACGTGCACACTCACTGCCTTCACCCTCACGCCTGCACTCGCAGCCACGCTCGAACCCTCGCACGTGCACGCTCAGCCACGCGCAGGCGTGCACACTCAGGCTTGCACACACTCATGCACGCACACACTCGCCTCCCCCCCCTTTTGCACGCACACACGCACGCGGGTGTTTGGTGTGCTTGTTCAAACACACAGTCCCACACGGCTTGACCCGCCTTTTGCCCGTGCACCCACACGACAGAGAGAGGGTCCCCGCATGACGCCGGGTCAGCGGTGGTGCCAGACTGGGTCCCACCTCCAGCCCTCCCTCCTGCCCCCGCCCCCGTGCCTCAGTTTATGCCTCTGATGGAAATCAAGACGAGACGTGGGGAGGGCAGAGAGGGCGGGCAGCTGTGATCCCGGCTGCCCAAGCACCCAGCCTGGAGCTTGAGTACCCACCAGACCTTGACCTTGTCCAGCAGCTTGGACACGTGGGGGGGTGTGCGGAGGGGGGGGGCGGGGGGGCATCCCCTCCTTGGCGAGTCACCAGGCTCCGCAGAACCGAAGCAAAGCTGCCACCGGGACTTTGCTTACTTTTGCTTCCGTTTCAGACCCTCGGATACCCGGGCGGGTCCTGAGGCTCTTCGGCTGGCGGAGGCCTGGGGACCCAGCCGGAGCCCAGAAAGCGCCACCTCCATAAATCTGAGTTCAAGTGGCAGGTCGGCCAGGCAGTCAGTCATTCCTCCGCGACGGCTTCTCCTGACCTCCAAAGCCAGCGAAGGACAGTCTGCACGCGGACCCCGCGAGGTCAGCCAGACGGCAGCTTGGAGACTGGCTTCCGCGGCGGCCGGCGGAGTTCAACTGACATGTTTGCTGGCCTTGCTAAAAAAAAACTAAAAAAACCCCCAAACCTATGTTACCCTCACACTTCATCTCGGCTTGGGTTTCTAGGGATATTCTGTGGTTTGGTTTTGTGTTTTCGGTGTTGTTTTGTTTCATTTCTGGGCCACACCCGACGATGCTCAGGGGTCACTCCTGGCTGGGCTCAGGGGACCATGTTTGCACTACCGCTCCGCACCCCACCCTGACCCCCACGTCCTCCTTTCTGCTTGGGCCTGTGTATAATCTCCAGGCGGATAGGGGAAGCCCTGGCGGCTCTCCCCGTCGCCGCCCGGGTTGGGTGGTCTCGGGTCGCTCCCCCACCCGGGCGACCCAGGCCATGGGGCGGACGAAGGAGGACTTGAGGGCCAAGCCGGTTGATGATCAGTTTATTCCATTCTCACCAGGTGCCTGCCCCAGTCCCTAAGGCACCCCCCAGCCATTCTAGTCTCACACTGCCCCTCATTCTTTTTTTTTTTTTTCTTTTTTGGGGGTCACAATCGGCGATGCACAGGGGTTGCTCCTGGCTCTGCACTCAGGAATTACCCCTAGCGGTGCTCAGGGGGATCATATAGGATGCTGGGAATCGTACTTAGGTCGGATCTATGTGCAAGACAAATGCCCTACCAGCTGTGCTATCACTCCAGCCCCTTGCCCCTCATTCTTGTCTCCTGTCTCTCCCACTCATCTCTCCAGGCTCCGTCTCGCACCCTGGTCTCTCTCTCTCTCCACGCGCCTGATCCTGCATTTTTCCCCTGCATTCTTCTCCCTCTGTCCCCTGCTAGTCTCTCCGGGCTCCATCTCGCTGCCCTGGTCTCTCTCTGATCTCTCTCCAATTCCCCAGCTTTGGGGGGTAGCCACCACACCCCGCTAGTAGCACAATCAACGTATCAAAAGCCCTTCTTCCGCTTAAGAGCAAAATACCACTGTAGGAGTGTGTCTGCTCTCCTTAGTCCAGTAACTTAATGAACATCTTGATCAACATCTTCATTTTACTTATTTTGTATGGGCACAGTAAGAGTTGACCGTGTAGGGTGACTTTCCTGGGGACATCTTGCCACAGACTCAGACTACAGTGCTCAGGCGCATTAATCATTCCTAGCCCTAGCAGGGTCCGAATCTAGTTATTGCTTTTCGGATCATGACACCATTTGTCTGTGACCACGCTCCTAACTTTATTAACTTTATTATGGCACTTTGGCCAGGCCCATTTCAGTGCCAGGGTAGCACGTAGCTCACCGCTTGCCCTGGGTCCATGCAGTCTTTTGTCGGGATCCTGCTTTGGGGGTGCTAGGAAGTAAGGGCAACTGAGGCTTAGGTCGAGAGAACAGATGCAGCGGAGGTGATGTTGTCCGGAGTCAGTTCCCACATTACAAATCATAGCATTAACTGTCTTCTTGTGCCCATACAAAAAGGACATTGCTCCGAATTAACTATGCTAAGGACTTAAGGAGAAGAGAATCACTTGATCACTTGACTTCCCGTTAATCGTCGATTTGCTCGAGCGGGCGCCAGTAACGTCTCCATTTGTCCCTGTCGCGTGCTAGTGTAGCCCAATGGCGTCTGTTCGCTCTAGGAACACGAAGAGCCTCAAACCGATCGTTCATGATCTTGACGAAGAAGTCTGACCCTCTGGTAGGTGGGCGGCCACGCGGTCTTTTGACATCCCGTGGAATCCAGTCGGTAACAGCTCTAGTCCAGCGGTCGTCTTTAAATCTCATTACGTGACCAGCCCATCTGATTTTCGACACCTTGGCAAATGAGACAGCATCCCTGATTCTTGATCGTTGAAGGATGTCGAAACTCCGGATTCTTTCTCTCATTTGAGTGAAACGTGATATTCCAAGCATAGCTCTTTCTATTCTTCTTTGGGAGACCTGAATGGCGTTCTCATCTTGTTTGCGTAGGGCCCAGGTCTCTGAGGCATATGTTAATGCAGGAAGAACAGTGGAATCAAAGAGATGTGCCCGGAGCCGGAGGTTCTTCGTCCTCTTAGCTATTTCTTCGACGTTCTTGAAGGCGTTCCAAGCCGCTCTCTTCCTCCTGTGCAGCTCGGGTGCCAGGTCATTTGTCATGTTGACCTCTCGACCTAGGTATACATAGCTGTTGCATTCAGAGATGGTCATTCCGTTGAGAGCGAATGGGGCGTCAGGAACGAGGCTGTTTCTCATAAACATTGTCTTCATAAGATTCAGCTGTAGTCCGACCTTTCCACACTCACGGTCGAAGTCGGCCAGCATTTGTGCCGCTTGGCTGATGTTTGGTGTTATTAAAACAATGTCATCAGCAAAGCGGAGGTGGTGTAGTTGCCGACCATCTATCTTTACTCCCATTCCTTCCCATTCCAGTCGTCGCATGATGTTCTCGAGGGTGGCACTGAAGAGTTTCGGTGAAATTTCGGTGACAGGAGAAGAGAATAACAATAAATGTAAGTCAACAGAGCACAAAAGAAAGAAGTTACAAATAAACACAAAGCATGCTGGGAATCGAACCCTGGTCAACCGCATGCAAGGCAAACGCCCTATCCACTGTGCTATGGCTCCAACCCCACCTGCTGAGTTTTTTTTTTTTTTGGAAATTGGTTGGTCATCTCACGCCAACCTCAACTCAACACGCAATACGATAAAGTACCTAAGATCTGAGTGTTGGGGTAACACTGTAGCACTGTCCTCCCGTTGTTCACGGATTTGCTAGAGCTTCTGTGCTTGGCATATCGAATACATCACGGGGAGCTTGCCAGGCTTTACCGTGCAGGCAAGATACTCTCAGTAGCTTGCTGGGCTCTCTGAGAGGGGCGGAGGAATCGAACCTGGGTTGGCCGGGTCGGCCTCGTGCAAGGCAAATGCCCTACTGCTGTGCTATCGCCCCAGCCCAGTGTTGGGGTAAAATCCCAAAAAAATAATGCTGGATTTGGTGTCAAAATACCAAATGTAATCAAAGTAGAGAGAGAGTAACATGGAAATCATCTGCCACACAGGTAGGGGGAGGAGTGGGATTGGGGGGAAACTGGGTTTTTGGGTGTGGAAAATGTGCACCTTCCCAGAGGCCGGTAGAGGATGGGCGACCGGCGGGCTCCCTTGCCAGTCTCTCTCTTTATGACGCAGTCATGGGCATCGTTCCGGCCATAGACTCGGTCATCAGGGTTCCATCATCCTCGTCTCCTTGCAGACCGCAAGGTCTCCAAAGTCTCCGTTTCCCTCCTTGTTGTCTTCTTGCATTTTCCTCCTTGTTGTCTTCTTCCTCCGGCTCCAGGCACATCTCTTTGATTCCACTGTTCTCCCTGCATTAACATACGCCTCAGAGACCTGGGCTTTACAAAAGCAGGATGAGAATGCTATTTGGGTCTCCCAAAGAGGAATCGAAAGAGCTATGCTTGGAATATCACGTTTCACTCAAACGAGAGAAAGAATCTGGAGTTCCGACATCCGTCGACGATCAAGAATCAGGAGATGCTGTCTCATTTGCCAAGGCGTCGAAAATCAGATGGGCTGGTCACGTAATGAGATTTAAAGATGACCGCTGGACTAGAGCCGTTACTGACTGGATTCCATGGGATGTCAAAAGACCGCGTGGCTGCCCACCTACCAGAGGGTCAGACTTCTTCATCAAGATCATGAACGATCGGTTTGAGGCTCTTCGTGTTCCTAGAGCGAACAGACGCCATTGGGCTACACTAGCACGCGACAGGGACAAATGGAGACGTTACTGGCGCCCGCTCAAGCAAATCGACGATTAACGGGAAGTCAAGTGATCAAGTCTTCTTGCGTTGCTGTGCTCTCTTTCTGTCCTCTTCCTTCGCGCTCTGCTTCTGTGTGTGCTGTTGTGCTCTTTGCTGTCTCTGTCTTCTGTCCGTGCCGTTGTCTTCTCCTTCAGTCTCTGTCTCTGTCTGTCTGTCTGTCTCTCTCTCTCTCTCTCTCTCTCTCTCTCTCTCTCTCTCTCTCTCCGTCTCCTGGTCTCTAGTCAGCTGCCGTTATCTTCTCCTGTCTTCTTCCCACCTTCTATCCTTCTGATCTGACTTCGGCAACCTCGTGAGCCTCTGATGGCTTAACTCTCTGACTGTCTTCGCCTTCTGACCTCGGTGACTGGCCTTGATGTCGGTGGGCCCTACGGGTGACTTATCTGAAGCGGGGAGGAAAAAGTCGGTCACTCTCTCCCCATCTGCCTCTCCCACCCGGGACCCAGGGTTCCTGGGTTCTTGTCTCGCCTCGCAGAAAGGAATTTCAGGAGTAGACGAAGCAGTGAAATCACACTGCTTTTGATTTGGAGGTTTTTTAGGGAAGGAGGGAGAGATAGTGGGAGAGAGTGGAGAGTAACCTGCTCTATCTTCCCGGGCTTCTCCGAGGGCGGAGAGAACCCCTACACACACCCCGGCATTATGTATGAAAACACGAAAGTCCACATCTCAAGAGGGGAGATGCGGGCGGCACATGTGTTCAGGCAGGACAAGGGCTCGGGCAGCATCTGCGTGCCCTTCCTTTGTTCAAGGTGGCCTTTATAGGGTTTCTCCAACCTGCCCTGGTGTGGGGCTTCTACCTAGGTCAAAGTCCATTGCTAGGGAGGTTACCAAGGGGGTTGGGAGTGGCGATGGTCTTCTGTGGAATTCCTTTCCTGCCTTGTTTCTGCAGGAGCTTCTGTGGGAGGGGGTTGGTGCGACCTCCTCGAGGTCTGCAGTTCAAACAAGGCTCCAGTTCTCCATGAGGTCAGGGCTGTCACTTCCCAGGAGATTTACTGCCATTGCCTTCGGAGGGGGCCTTCCCTATCTGCCTGCCCACGTCAGCCTGACTCCTTCTACTGATGACCCAATTATCTGACCTCTGTGACCTTCTGACCACTGACCCTCTGATTTCTGATTCTCTGACCTTGGTGACCTCGACCTTGGGCTACTGATTCTCTGATTGATGACTCTCTGACTTCAGGGACCTCCTGACTGCCTTCTGTGACTTCCTAACCCCCAGCCCCTTACAGCGTAGTTCACATAGAAATCATGTAGGGTGGTGACACAAAGGTGGGGTTGAACATTAAACCAATCAACAAAGAGAGGTAAGGTGACTCCTCCAGGAGATCAACCCAAGGGCAAGATCTCATCTAAGGAGATAACTCCAGATTACTAGGAGACTGATCAAGGGTGGGATTCCATCCAGGGTGTGTTGCTTTCTTCTTTACTCAGCTAGTAATCCACTTAAATAGTTGTAGTCAAAGTACTTCTAATCTTTCTAGCAGTGCCATTTTGGATGAGCACAGTAAGAGATCACAGATCACAGATCATCCTGTTATTCATCGATTGCCTCGAGCAGGCCCCAGTAACGTCTCCTTCATCCTAGCCCTGAGATTATATTCAAGGCTCTTTAGGAGAATGAGACCCATCATTGTTACTGGTATTTGGCATATTGGGTACGCCACGGGGAGTTTGTCAGACTCTGCCGTGTGGGCAGGCTACATTCGGTAGCCTGCCAGTGGGTCAAAGTAGGAATGAGATGTCATAATAAGATGTCGCACGGCCGATAACCAAGCTTAAAGTTTGGTCCTTCTTGAGGACATCTCACAATATGTGCCAGACCACAGTCCTCAGGCCAGGTTAGTCATCCTAACCCCAGCAGGGTCCTTTTTCAGTTACCTCTTTTGGGTTATGACAGAGTTTGTCCATGACCGTGCTCTTAACTTAGAGTTAAGTATCATGGCGCGTGGCCTGGCCCATTTCGATGCCAGGGTAGCTAGCTCCCAGCTTGCCCTGGGCCCATCAGTCCCTCGTCGGGGCCCTGCTCTTGGAGTGCTAGGAACTAAGGGCAACCGAGCCTTAAATCAAGTAAATACAGATGCCCAGGAATAAATATTATTTTGGAGTCAATTAACTCCCACATTACATAGCATAGCATCATC